AATTCAATATTCATAATATTGATCGAATATTCCTCTATTAGAGTTCTTGATCAGTATTTTGACGTTTTCTATTCTGTATGTTACATCACTTGATGTAATCCAAATAGTACTGCCACAGGCTGTAGTAAGTGGAGAAAAGATCGGCTTTGATAAAAGGCACTGAAAGGTTTAATAAGTTGCCATCCAATAATTGATTTGATTTTCTAGAGTTCAATATGCTACAGTTAAATATAAAGAAATCAAAATCAGATTCCTTTGCATAATGGTCGCTGGGCTAGAAAACCACAGTGCACAAGGCTTTTGTAAATTATATTGTGTATGGTGTTGCTGATTATTCAATCAATTTTTCTCTAAACATTTATCCTCAAAGTCGAGCGAATCCGAGCATGAATGGCCATACAATTCGATTCTCCTTTGACAACACCTTTTTTCTCTCGATTTTTTTATCAAGATCAAAGTTAACTTGACAGCACTCGACAACATTCGACTCCTTCGACAAGGTGACCAAACAACTTGATTTTTCACTAGATTTCTTGTTAAATAAAAAATCGAGTGAAAAATCGAGTCGTTTGGTCGGTGCTTTTCAATGAAAAGTCTTGTCTTTAATCCGGATACTTAGCAACTTAATACGTAATGATTACAGTTTAATTTATATCATTGAATGAAGACTTTGAATCCTCTTTTGGTTATGGGCTTACTGCACACAGTCGCAGTGAAATAGAACCGATAGGAATACATCTTCAAAACACGTCAATCAGCATTCGGCTACGGTTTTTTCTGGGTCTTTGCAGCTATGGCTCAGACTGATCCGTGTCCACCCAATTCACTGTTCTGAAGCACGATTTTATGATTTTCGTAAACCAACTAAACAAATTATAATTTCTCTTTATCTCCCGTAGCTCAGCTACAGATACTAATGAAAGGAGTAGGAACAGGAAAAGTTTCAAATTGTCTCCTTAGCAAACTATTTCAAGCGATTGAGTTTTTGGATACTCTTCGTTAAAAAAAACCGTGCAACATCTCTTTGCTTTTAACCTAAGGCTTCTGTTAAGTTTTCAGCAATAAACAGAAATGAACCTATAAGGTCCGTGAAACTTCTGCTTTACAACAACTTGTCCACCTCCTTCCCCTCAAATTTAGACTTAGTTGCTTGCTAGTAAGCAACCTCTAAATGTAAGCAAGCTTGGTACTTTCTTTTAATTGGTTATTCCCATCCAACATTTGGAATTCGTGCCTGTACGTTTCCCTGCAAGCTTGGTATGAGTCCCCCCTTTTTAAAACCCATTGAAAAAAGCACCCTTGTTGTTTTTAATCAGCACCATTTTATATAGAAAAAGGCGCCAGGCCGCAAGCACGCTTAAATTTTGTCAAAGATAAGAATGTCTAAAAGACATTTCTAGATGTTTCGCTCAGATTTGTTTTCCCCTTCGTTAAGCGTGTCCATAATTTGTCCGTAATCAGAAGCGATCAAGAGAGTAGCCAAAACATGACAACATTAGAACACTGCAACCAGTATCGAGACGATGCTTATCTTGGTGCGCTGGTTATTTGTTCTTTCTAAATGTGGCTTATCTGCCAAAAAGTGTTTAGAGTCACCTCTAACTGCGAAAGAAAGCAGGAATGATACAATATCATGAATCATATACATTGTCTAGAGTAGCATCATTATACGTTCTTAATTATGGCAAAAGACACATCGAGAAGGGCCTACAGAGATAACCCGATATAAAGACGCTAGATTTGTGGTATTGACTTTTTGTCAAGACACATTTTAAATTGGCTCAAAGTCCTTTGCAATTAAGTTTAGTATATTTAAACCACTTGAGTTTCTCTCAGTTCTCCTTCCAATGACGTACTTTTAGGCAGCTTGGTGTTTCCTAAAGGAAATAAAGTTATATTGTGCAGAATCTTGTAACTGTCTGATGTAGTTAAACCTTTTTTGTCAATTAGCTTAATTGAACAGAAAAATAAACTTTTTTAACCAAATAATCATTGATTCCCGATTTGAAAAAAAATTTCTCTTTCTGAAATCTTTATGTGATTAGGTTTTGCCACTATAACTGGATACACAATATTGCTACTAAAATTATACTACGATAATCTATTTTATCTTTGATATGGGGCTCAGAACTTGTCCGCATCTGCCACTTGCCACTAGACAAAATACGTTTTATAGAACCAGGCTCTAGATAACTTAGATACAGGGCCAATGTGAAAATGACTGCTGTTTTAAATGGCATTGGATAAATCAATGGAAGTTTAGGTTTTTGTGATGAAGCAAATAGAAATTCTGATCGCCTGGATCAATGTCAAAAAGTGCATAATTTTTTATAATCCTTTGCATGTCACATGGACATTTTATCTAAATAGGCGAGAACACAGACCGGTTGCTTTGGACTCGTTTCATGTTTTCCTGTTATCCTCATTTCTTTCTTCACTTGCATTCTACTTAGAGACCTTCTTCCTGCAGTCAGTGTTGCCATGGTTGGCTTACATAAGAGTTAAGGATTTGGGTACAGTTGCATTGTTGCTTTGTAGATACAACCCTCTATATACTAACCATGGCTTGGCACTTTTCTGTCATTTCTTTTGAGCAGTCCTGCTTTTGAGTATATGTGCTCAATATTTAATCAACTGCAGCTTTCATGTAGAGGTGACCCTTTCCACAAAAAGTATTCTTATGGTCTATAATTTTGCAATCTATTTTGAATATGCAGCTTAAGTACTAAAAGAATACTTCATAAAAGATGCTGTAAAAATTCCACGTACTTTTTGGTAAATTTCCCTTTTGACATATTATTGAATATCTGCAGGGCCGCACTTTCCACTGCGCCCACCGGGCCCGGGCCCGGGCCCGGGGGCCCACAAACAAATGGGGGCCCTAGGAATTTTTCGGAAGCTTAATATAATGTCATAGGGCTTCTCTTCCACGAGTTTCTTATCAGTGCCCAAATGCACATCCTTGACTTGTGCAAACTTCAAGAAATGGAAAGGAATGATCTTTTACGAACCGACATGGCACCCTGACTTCACGAAAGAAGAGAGGGATGTTTTTCACAACCTAATACATCTATCAAGTAATGGAGAATCATCAAGTGTCTTTGCCAAAAACTTTGTACTATTTTTTCACCCTTCTGCGGCAAAACAGTGCCGCCTCCGGTAGTATGATAGCCGAGACATTTTTTACACATACGTATCATAAAAAATTGAGCAAAAATCTTGAATTTTCATATACATATTACAATATGAATTTGTTCGACCAATTAATTGAATTTTTGTAGCTACAGGGGCAAAGTTTTAAGTTTCCGATTAATTTTTCGACGAATCATAAAATTTCTTTCATCTTAGTTTCTAGACATCAAATGCTCGGATTTTCCCACTTGTTGTCAGGGAGGTCTCGTTTATGCCTGGTGCCGGGGTCCCTTGAAAATGTTAGTGGGGCCCTGAATATCTGTTTGGTCATTTCATGCCAGACTGTCGGTGCATATCGATTTCGTGCAGTTCAATTCTCTCGCGAACCTTATTTATTATTCATTGTTATGAACAACCTTATCAACATTGTTCAAAAGGCCCATAGCAGACAGAAGCACGAGAAAGAAAACAATCAAAATACTTCTAAACTTGAATTTAATCTTTCTACACATTATCGACATACATTCCCGTTTTTAAAAGACAAATATTTCTATCTTTACAAACAGCTTGAATAATGTAAGCAAATTAATTACCAAATCTAGAGTTAGTCCCATTGCAGCTGATTTATTATAAAATGATGTCTATGGCCCGGTTCACACAGTTACACAGCAAATCTGTCACGGTTCGCTCTTCTATTTACGCAAGCACTGTGGGATCGAGACGATTTTGATCTGCTATCCAGATCAGTTCTGATCCTGCTACGAAAGCGAACGAATTTTGTACCTGGACGGTGTAAACCGGGTTATTCTAACAACTCCGATGCAAAATCTCTAGGAAATGGACGCATTAGACCCCGTTTACATTGTCCCGTGCAAGTTTGGAACCTTGACAAGACGAAACCGTCGCGGTTATGAAAGCGAACAAACTTTGTACTGTCGTGGTCCCGCTTTTGAATGGGACAGTGTAAACGGAGTCCGAAATGCAACCAGCTCATTATCCGATAATTGTACTTTTGTCTAGTAAATTGTCCGTTTTCATACTATTTCGGAATTTGTAGCACGAAAGGCTTATTAGATTTAATTATGCCACATAATACAGTAAGTACCGCATTTTGGAACCACCTTTTTAAACTGAGGCCTCAGAAAGTTTCTTATCAACAGAGACTTTCTATCATCAGGGTCTAGGTTTCTTCTTATCAATAATTACTTTAAAGTCAAATCAAGCCAAGCTGTATGACAGAACCGTCCTTGGACGTGTATCAAATATTACTGCTAGAAGTGTATTATACATAATCTACAGTATAATTTACATAACAATTACAGTATAGTTACATAACACTGCAACTATCCTAGAGCATAAACAGAAAATATCTAAACACGACTGTTCTTACTTGAATATAAGGAATATTTCGATTTCAGGCCCAAAGTTGTTTCTTATAAATTAGGCCCCTTTTGAAGAAAGTGAGGCCTGTTTCTTATACAAGTAGGTTGCTAATATGCGGGTACTTACTGCAACTATCGGTCAAAAACTGCTAGTCTAATTCAATAATTATGTCCTTGTGTAGTAAGCATGCTTGCAGTTAAAACAAAAGTCTGGCTTGAAAAGGGACATGATTATCTAACATTTGCGATTATGCATGGCTGAATTGTGGAAATTGAAAGCTTATTGCCTTTTTTGTCGAATAAATGAAACAGTAATGGAAAATAATTCTTAATTTTGTCCATCAACGAGCTTTCAATGTGATAATCACAAACCATACTGGGAAAAATCTGTCTGGTGTACCACATGGTTCGATAACATGCCCAATCTAAAGTGACTGTTTGTTTCAAAACATCATTACATGACGTTGTAATATTTTGCTTAAAATCTAGTTGAATAAATGTTTTGAAAACATAAGCATTTACAATGTCCACGGCAGTTACTTTAAAGAATAAGCATTTGCAGTTATTCTAACATAACAAAGACGAAATGTTATTGTTAAATATATTAAATGAATATTGAAGTTTGCTTTGTCACATGTTCGGATTGACTGGTCAATATACGCTTACAACGCTAATGCCGCAATCGATTTTCACAGGGGCTTCATAAAACTATCAATGAAATGTTTCCTTATGAAAGTGTTGAAACTCTTCACTCATTGCCTTTGACGTTGGAAAATAGAGAATTTGTGAAAGTATTAATTTAAACGTAAAAAGAAGGACTTATATCATTAGTAACCTGACGAGAAATCGCACCATATCAACATTTACTGAAACTGCAGTATTTTTCTCGAGCTTTACTCGTAAAATTATGTCAATTTCACTGCTACTCTTTCACGTACAATTTCTTAAAAGCCTATTCTGTGTGCCATCTGACGATTGTGCCAGTCTGACCAGGCAAAGGGGAAAGTGTCCCATTACAATTGTACAGATAGGCTGAATAAATGCACTTTTCTTCTATATACACCAAAAAAGGTTCGCCTCATTGCTATCTCATTTCAAAATACGATATTACTTCATAATTTTTTCTGCAAGTTCTCAGTCTCTTCCTTTAGACTGAGTAACCAAAAATAACAATTTATCACACTGACGATTACTTTAAATACAGAATATTTATTAATCATCGCATGCCAATTTTTGATACAAGGAAATTTTTGGAGAATACATTTTTCAACTATTACCAAATTACTATTATCATTTACATCCAATTTCTACCGATTTATGGAGCCTTATTCATGGATGTAAATAGCCTTAGAATCTAGCCAAAGGTATCTTTTTACAACGTTTCAGGGTGCTTTGTACATTTGAACCAAAGATTATTGCAATTTATGTTTATCATTAAAACATTAAACAAAACCTTCTTTTGGTCTTTTAGTAGCCAAAAATTGTTTATCAAGAAATTGTTTTTAAATCAAGACATTTTTGTCAATTCGCAATTTGCATTTCTAGTTTGATTTACATAATTCTGTTTGCTTTGCACATTTCTATCTGATAATAAACTAGTTTCTAATTATAGATATAAATAAGCTTTAAGAAGTAACAATATACGATTTTATACGCAGCCTATCTTTATTGGGTCCTGTTTCAATCGTTTGCTCTTGCCTGTAGATTTTCTGTTTCTCTTTTGGATAACATTTTTCTTCATTGCTAGAGGTCTGTTTACCTGAAAAATAACTCAAAGGTGTAAAAATAGTGTTGAATTTGGGCTGTTTCGCAGAATTCAATATGAAATAGGTGATTTAGATTTTTAGGTAAAGATTATGAAGAAGGAATAACCATGATACTTTTGAAAAAAACAGGATATGTGGGTGGATTAAAGTGACAAGCTTCAAAACTGGACAAGGAAGGCCAACAGTGAGCTGCCATCAAGGAGGTGCTCCTATCTTTTTATTATGAACTGAAATAGCACGAAGTTTAGTGATAAATCAGCTTTTAAAGACTGAAAAGATCCGAAATTGTATAATTTCTAATAAAATATCAAGGTGATTATACAATAGTATATGTTTTTGGGATAAAGCATTATCATCGAATCTTTTATCAACAAATAATTGAAAGTAAAATATACCATGTTGAAGCGAAAGCAGAACATTTAACGAGCTTTCAACTAAATGATTTTTTGAGGATATATTAGTTCTTAATAAAAGTTAGGGTGACATTAATTTGATGTAGATTATATATTCAGGATCTTTTAGCATTACATCTTTTTATCTAAATTATCACTAAAGCTTGGTTCGTCGATGATTGCTGCTTATCGAAGTAAAACGTTTATGACAGCTGATCTAAAATTACTTCACGGATAATAGTTATGTGTTGGTAAAAAGATGGTGCATATTGGGTCCGACCGAAGGAATCTTATCACAAACCGCAAAAATAAGCAAGAGAATTAGCTGACAACGACGCACTTACTTAAAGCATGCACTAACTTTAAATTGGCATTCTATTAGCAGATGTCATGTAAAACTTGTTGTTCATTTAATATCAATTTGCTAATGTCCTTTGAATTTCACCATAGTTTTCACCAAAGAAAGTGCTGCATTCATTACAGTGCTTTGTATTCATTCTCAGAAACCTAATGCCTTGGGGTTGGATACACTATTGACGTAGCAAGCATGCAGGTTCGAAGAACAGGCTGGTGGACTGTATGGAATACAAATTTAGCAATAATAGCCTATTGATGTATTCATGCTTGAATATTTGCTAATTTTGATGTCATGCCATTCTGTTGCTTAACAATACACTCTAGAATAGTTTATTACAGGTAACGAATGTGTCTGGTAACACATTAGCAAGCTTTCGGGTATCAGGGTGCTCGTATTTGAAGCTTGATTATAAATGTACGCTCTCACACTAAACACATGTTTAGGGGGTAGCAAGATACTGTCATTGTTTCTGTCTTAAAGTTCAAAATCGGGCAGGTTATGTCGCCTGATAAGAATCAAACTATGAATGCGGTTGGTACTTAAATTGAGAGTAGACCTTCGCAAATTGAACAGTTGCCTGTAAAACACGCCTTTCCACTTAACATTTAGCAATGATATCTTGAAACTAATCTTAACTGTAGCTGACAGGATTCTTGATTGATTTAGCAAAACTTTTTAATAAAAGATAAAAATTGATATATCTAATAGATGTACAATAACTTATCGGATCATAAATTGGCGAGTCTATAAGAGTTATCTCGAGCCTGGCAAGGACCAAGCCTAGTACAGTACAAACGAGCAAGATTTCCATTGAAAAAAGTCCAGTGTAGGTCAATTATTCAATGTGTGTTCTGTTGACCCTTAAGTGAAAAAGCCCACAGGCTCTTTAATGATAATTAAATCACACAGAAGAGATACGTGGCTGTCATCACAACAAAGAGACACACCTGCTAGTTTAAAAGAGCACTGAAAACCAATGAAGATTGATGTCAACCAGTCTGGAACTAAACTGTTTATGCTGTTAATATTTTGATAAACGCTATTTTCAATTTGCCCGATAACCGATTGAAGGCTTTGAAAGGATTTTAGCTACCACCAACATTTCACGTCCCTTACCCCTCGACAATTTTCATCTTCCGTCAACCTAACTTTAACTAGACCCTGAGACTTAATTTTTAAGTGGTTTGCTTTTCCACAACGCCCGGGGATAAATGGTAAGCAATAGAGAACTGATCTCCTGAGCAGTTTATGGGTTTCACCCTGTCGCTCTAATTTTGTAGTTGCCAATCTAAAAGTTGTTGCAGCTGGACTACTATTTTTACCAAAGGAATATAACAAGTACAAAAACGTTGCCACTTTGTTCTGAAGCGGAAGTTTGTTGGTCATTTAATTGCTATAGGAAGACTTCAAACTCACCTTATGCAGTTTATAGTACAAGCCGCATGAATTGCAGACTGGCTTGCCCTCAGTATCGCGTCTCCATAATGTTGTTTCAGTTGTCTTGCAATTTGAGCAAAAATTTCCAGATTTCTTTGTTCTTGACTAAAAGGAATATTTATCAATCACACACAAAAAGAACAACGTAAGCTTTGAAAGGTATTACAAAAATATGTTATGATTGAAACCAATTTATCAGTAATCTTGCTTTTGCTTACAAAAAATGTAGAAATTTTTGTAGCACATGTAGATTATCAAATTTACTGCATAAATACTTTTGACTTAGGCTGGTTTGAGCCATAAATTATCACAGTAATTGGCACTATCATCTATTACACGGAAAAAGAATCTTCGAGTCGAATAAACCACTTTCCTTTCAAGAAGTTTTTTTTTGGTTTCGTATGGTTTTGTTTATTTCATCTTCAAAAGAAGCAGAACGAACAAACAGTCTTGCAGTACTACACAATACCTCTGGTTTGATGTCATTAGTGTACCCAAAATGATGTGAACCATAGTAGGCGGGTAGAGACTTGTACTCTTCATGTCCAAATGCTGTAGAAGATGACAAGATATCGATATAAAAATTTGAGACCTTATTGGATTTACAAGGGAAACGGTAGATTCTAATGGTGCTAGCCATTTGTGTGCTTCACAAACATGCCAATGGCGTTGGATCCTAGATATTGTAAGAAAGCCGTACAGTATAACCATTTCATTGGTTCCCCTGCAACAATGTTTTCGCAAAGATGAGCAAGGAAAATTTCCCCTTACTTCTACGTTCATAATTCATTACGCGCATGATTAACGGGAAAAAAGTACTTTTAAAGAATGTCTTTTTACAATGTAGAGAGCCTTGAAGAAAGCTAAAAACAAGATTAGCGAGTTAAATACATCACAAAAGGACACAGTTTCAAAAGAGTAGCGCCTAAGCTCTTAATAACACAGACAGTGACAATGAAGACACCCTTTTTCTTATTGGGTCAGAGAGAAACATTCTCAAAAAACAGTGCTAAACAGAAGTAGCACGTGGTAGTGCGGAACATTCAAGATTTTTAGGGCTAATAGCACATGGATTTGGAGACGATGTACGATAGAAATAAAGCCTTAATAGCGAATCATTATGCCAATTGACAGATCTGGTTCCAAACAATGGAACACATGAATAAAAATGAACTGGTCACCCGCTTGCAATTATCTATAAGAAGAATATGTAATTGGAAAAAATAATCGATCATGGTTTGAAAACATGTTTTTTTCAAATCAATATTGAAAATGAATTTTGGCTTATGATTTGATACTAGGCCAGAGTATTAGAGCAGTTTGTACTCTTTAAGTATTTCAATGTATTTAAGTTAACACTTCAATGGTGTGTCTATTAAAAGACGATAAATAATATGATAAATACTAATTGGTTTTTGCTCATTCAAAAAGTTAAATCCGAAGAAAATGAGCAAATGAAGTTATGCAGCAAATGAATGCTATTTTTAATGAAGATGCATTCAAGGAATTTAAAAATATTACAACATAAAGACAAGCTGATAAGAGTTCTCTCTCTAGCAATCATGCCACATAAACAGATGAGTTGGCACAAATGGAGTTTTTGCATAAGTTCTTACTGCTTGTAAAATGAAACTAAACTTGAAATCTTAATTTCATTGACAATGGTTTGATTAGACGATTAAAATATCAAATTACATTGTCAGCCAAAATCGTCGAATCTTACTAAAATCTGATTTATTGAAGATAATCTTAGGTTTATCTGCCTTTTATTCTGATTGGAACTACTGCAAAATAAAGTTTTTGAAAAGTGTCAAATTACCAAGCTTTGAGGTATAGGATAAAAAGATTAACTGCTTAGTATAAATAGAGGATGCTCGAATGCCAAGCCACAACTGGCACACCTGCTGTCATTTTCTATTCCTACCCGCTTCGTTGCTATTTTAACCTAACAAATGTTAAAATCATTGAAACGTGGATTTGAGTATAAATTTTCAAGTTGGGGACATTCTTCTTCAAAAGCTTTTTAATCATATTGGCGAAACGTCTGCTACTATGTCATAAATTATCCTATCATTTCTCCTTGTTTTATATAGGCAAAAAATCCTAAAACAACTCGTTATCCACACAAGTCAGTTGAGTAAAGAAGGTGAAATTCTTGCTCAATTTTGTGACGAAGCAATCGAAAGCTATAAAAAGATCCTGGTTTAAATTATCTTGAAATTCTAAAAAAGCAGCTTTGTACAGTGAATGTTGTCAAATTTAAACTTAAAAAATAACGAAGATTACTAATTAATGAATAAAATACATACAATGCAGTGAGTTGAAAAAACAGTTCTCGATGTAAAATTTCAATAAGTTAGCTAATAGAATCAGTGAATCAACTTTTCTTAATTCACAATTTTTCATGTAATCATTAGAAAAAACATTAAACAAAGTTCTTTGCATTATTACAAGATTAAATTAAAGACTCTCCAATATTGAAAGTTTCAAACTCGAGTATTCTCATAACAAAATTTGTAACTTTTGTTCTTTATTGTTTAATTTTCTTTGCAAGAGCTGAACTCGTTACTTTGCCAATTCATTTTCCATCTTAACTTTGTTGTTTCACACTTAAAGCTTGACTTTAGGTTCCTAGTTACAGAAAAACCACGCGAAATAGAAGTAATTGATTTTATTCTATAACCTTTAAGACAATGGTATAGATTAATCTTGCTTTTAAGTTATCCACTTATTCAAAAAGGCAATAAGCTGTTCATCATATCTTAATATGTCTAGAGAAATCTATGACAAGCTTGTGGGAATGAATACAATAAACTGTTGGACTTTCTGCCAGCAATTCAATTTCAATTAACAAGACTTTTTGTTGAACAAATATTATGGCTGATTTCCAATTTGTTATTCATGTGCTCTTTTCATAAGCTTATGATAAATCAAAACGTAACCAGGCTAGAATGCAAATATTACCGTTGAAAAGAATTTTTTCAAAATTTATCCTTTTTATTTTGGAACTTTGTCAAATGCTTCGAGCTCTCAGCGCTTCAATTAGAAATTCAGCGCCATGGCTTGTCAGAGAATCTAAACGTTCAAGAGTAGGATTCAGCGATGAAGTCACTGAAGCACCGTCAGTGTAGATAAATGTTTAATAGTAGCTGCAAAGAGAATAAATAGCCATTTCATACTCTACACGAAGCAGTGACAAACTGCTTCATGCTTGTTGCCATTGCAGACGTTAAGATATAACTAGAGCCAGAACAGGAAACAGCAGGCGAAAAATTTGACAAGTAACCGTAGCTGAAACGACCCTCTTTAAATGTAAAACAAACTTCTGTGTGACCTTGGTAGATCGTTGATTGACTATGTTACATTAGATCAAAGAAAGCTATGTTAATAAAAAAATAAATCTTTCCTTCAAAAGACTCTTTCAAAACTTTGTCAGAACATTATCAGTATTTGATTCCCGCCAATCAGCAATAGATAAGTGTAAATTTTGGTCATTTTACTCTTTTCGGCTGATCGTTTTTAAAGGGGCAAGCATTTGCAATACTGTTGCCAATAACTAAAGAATGCCCGATTGCTAATGATGACGTTGTAAAATCATTATTGTAACTTCATGGCAATCACATGATTTCTTAAAAAATGAAAGGGACGCCATGATTGCTAAATATTAGGGTTTGAACAACTGACATAACAAATACTGATATTCTCATAGTTCTCTTTGAGATCTTAAATTTATCAACAGAAGGCAACAGTTGGATGTAAAAATCTTAAAGTGCGAAATTGCGAGAATTTTAATTGACTCTAAATGAAAGAAAGTAAACGAAGATCGACTAAAATGTTCGTATACGCAATAGGCATTTCCGTAAAGGCGAAAAACCTTCACCAAAGCAAGGGACCAAGAACCTTTTCTGCTGAATTTGTTTTTCTTTTAAAATTTGAAAGGGACCTCAAAAATACAGATGTTCAATTCTTAGAACACAAACATCTTACAATTATCTTTAATCAACAGATGTCAGCACCGTTTAAAAAGAAACAGACTGGGTTTCGAAACCAAACCGTGGGTAAAGGGATAAACGAGATAGGCTACAATATTTGCATTGTTTGATTACAATATTTAAGATTAAAATAGGAATTGATAACTTTTCTGTGCACCATAACACCCGTATGTATCGCATCGATTTTAAATAGTTATTCTTGCTCGCTTTGTTTTGGGTTCCTTTACTGAACCGATCAATATGGGTTCCTCCTGTGCGCAAATGTGTCCATTTTTGCGCACACGCTCTCTTTACGTAGTAAATTAGTCAAATGAATTTGAAAGAACAATTATCGATCTCATACCGCTTGGAAATTTAATCAACTTGACTTCTACAAAATCTAGAGAAGTAAATCTGTGTATCAGCATAAATATTTGCAAGGATTGCAAGAACTGCCTGCGACTTTTGCTAACAGCATCAAGCTAGATAATTCGTAGTTTGTTGCATTATTCACTTGTTTCCAGGGTCAATATCAAACAACAAGAACTCGATCGCTAATTGATTTGTAAGCAAAAACCACAAAGAATCGGGTATTAAAGTATTCAGATTTGCATTGCATGTTTTATTATCTCATGAAGAGACATACAGCAGTGAATAAAAAAGGACAAGTGAAGAACAATTTTGTACGTCACTTTTAAGCGTCTCTACTTTTTACCTTTAGATGTTTAACGATATAGCTTTACAGATCATGTTGAAACATACACTTCTACTTCTACTAAGACCTTCGAATTCCTTTACGATCTCACTTTTTATTGCAATTTTGAAAAACATGTATATATAAGAGCTTTTGTGCTTGAGAAATAACATAGACTTAGGATCAGTCCGAACAAAATACATTTATCATTCAATAGAGAGATTTGTAATGAGTGGTTTCAGGTTGGTAGACATTTGTGAAAGAGTTTGGTCGTCTGTTAAAGATTTATCTCATCCAAAGCTGTCGAGCACGACAATGTAACAAAACAAAGTTCGAGTAAGGATTTAATTACAGCAGATTTAGGTCTTGTTATCAACCCATTTGATCTCTAATTTTTGGTGGCTGCTGTTTAAAAGAAAACGCAGATTCGTGCGAGCCAAAAAACTTAGAAGGCTGGGAATGATTAATCAGTCAAAGAGTTGATAAGATTGCCGTGTACTCACAGTATGGCATTCCTTTCATGAAGCTTAGCTCCCATTCTCTCTTGGCATCCAAAGGTAAGTCGGAGTAGGCAGTGTTGACACGGTACGGGGACGTATACTGACTTTGAAGGACATCATCTACGGCCCTGGAATTTCTGTGGAATGAGTTGTTCAAGTTTGAATGTGGGTACATACTGGAGGAAGCTACTGATGTCATTGGGAATCCGGCTTTAGAAGGTGATAGTCGCTGGTCTAATCCATGGTATGAAGGGACATCGGTTGCTCTTGACGCTAAGTAAGCCTCTGCGTTGTAACTGTATGGATACCACGAGCTTCCCGAGTGGGTTCCGTGGCTTAGCATCTCGAGATTGGAATTCGATGATGTAGTCGTTGAGTAGCGATGTACGCAGTGGTTTGGTAAACTCTGGCTGCAGTAAAAACGACTGTGGTCTGTCTGCCAACCCGGTAGCTGCAAAGCGCCTGTTTCTACTAAATTTTCTTTTTTTGTGTAATCAGCAGATGCTAGTTGACTCTGACTTTGATGTTGAGCAGCAGGCGAGAAAAATCGTCTTTCGAAAACAGGAACGACTTCCATATTTAAATAGCTGCAAATATATACCTACACTGATTCTATTGGCATCAAACTGTATTGCAAAGCTTATTCAGTATGTGTGTGACTGCACTTGAAATTTGCACTCTTTATCAGCAGATCACCTGAATGGTTGGTCCTTTGTCACCGGCTGATGGTCGCTCAAGCATATGGACGGCCCTGGTTGCTGCAAGATGTTTAGCGTATGTGATCGTTTTCACAATCTTTCACCTTAAGAGAAGACCATCCAAATATGATCGTCGCTAGGAGCTCTGTGATTGGCTGCTTTCAAAACGATACACTCATGTAGCTCGTGTTTTGTTTTAATGTTAAATTGAACGAGTATAAAAGATTGTTAAGGACAGACTTCACCTTTGCATTGAATATGCTATTCGTATTGTCATGGCTTTCTAAAATGTTACCCGTACCAATTCACGTACATGGAGCCTTGCTTCCCGCAACAGACGCAAGATAAAACGTCGGTGAATCGAAGACAATGAAAACAGGGGGTATAGAAAATCAAACGAAAACTCACTCGGGAACTCTGTAAACTGTGAGTAAAAGAACAGACAAGAGTGATACGCTTTGCAAGATAAACCCCAAAATATTTTCAAAACCTGTAGCTCTACCAAAACTTCATTTAATCCGTTCTAAAATAAAAACATTAATCGATTTTTTTATTTGATTTTAAAGTATTGAAAAAAATTGGGTAGAGATAATAAAGACCATTGGTTTTAATCTTAGATATCAGAAGTGATAAGAAACAGTAAATGAAACTTAAAATTTACCGATGGACCTATCTCTCCACGAAGAAACCTAAGGTGTTGCCGAACACAAGCAAGTACTTTCTTTGTTATCAAGCTGGTATCAGTCTTCTCGACAGTCTGATTTGTCTTAACTTTTGCAAAAATCTTTAATCTCATTTTACTTTAAAACAAATTAAAACAATCTAAGATCATATTGAAGAACTTTCTAGTCAGCAGCAATAATTAGGCAAGACTTACTAGATATCGTGCATGCACTTCTTCATATTTAAATAATTATATTTAAGATGTTAAGCTACTTATTTATGACAGCCATATCTTCCAGTAGGATCAGATTCAATTTCTGTATTGAATGTTATCGAAGATTGTATTTATCATAATTTGCTGGGCCGTAATCTTCGTTATTTCTGCTTTTGTAAATAGAATATTCTTTCCAGAAACAGAACTTTATTTACATAAACGATACTATTGCGTTTCGGTAAGCAAGCGTAATAAAGTCCAAAAATGAAATTTTTTATCGTTTTTGTCTTTTGATAAAATGAAGCCCCAATAATTCATTCTTAATAAGCCACTAGCCACTAGACCATAATTCGCAAAAATGGAAATGATAGTGCATTTGGTATACACAGTCAGCATGTTAGGATTATGAGCAAAGCTTTAATATGAACAATTGCTTGATGATCGTATTATGCCTGGAACTCAGAGTAGCAACTTAGAGCCGCCCTGTACCATACACAAAAAACTTGTTAGCATGGCATGATATTCTTAAAGACTTAATTTCGAAAATCAATGAAAGAAGACTCTATCTAAGAAAATATTCTAAGAATAAAAGAGATTTTCCCGTAAATTAGGCAGTCAAACAGTTAATATAAACATTGGTCAAAGGATCATCCGTATAAAATTATCTCTAAGGATGCCGAAATTAAGCAAAATCTGGTTCAGAAAACTTTGCATTCGATTCATGTCTGTTTTTATACAGAATGTATGATAAAAATACGAGCGACTAAAATGGTCTACAATATAGGCCCGTCAAATGAATATGCCACCTAAAACCAGATCACAAAATGAGCAATTCTCTTTTTGCGTGATTAAACCCAAAACTATTCGTCTTTTTTGTTCTTAGCTCAAAGTTCGTTGTCGTGTTACAGGTGCTATAAACTAGTTTGTTATCACTAGCTTAGGACTAATAATGATATAAAACTGAACCAATTTCACAAAAACAACAGTCGAAGCCTCTAATTTTTAGTTCATTTTTTCAATGAATACGATTTCCAATCTGCAAAAAAAACTCACTCACACGATCTTAACTAATATCTAATGATTGTATACAAAATTATTAGCTTTAGCCTTCTAATCAGAGTTTCTTCTTCTAATTTACATTACGTTACGATACTCAAATGTTAAGTGGGTTTCAATGTTCTCCGAATGTCTTGCAATTTCGAGTCTTCCTGATGTTTCTTGGGCATTAGCAATAACATCATATCAAGCAATAAAAGGCAGGCCCGTCGCTAGCTATTGTGCACAAGGGGGAAAGTTAGAAGGCTGTGATAAAATATCGGATGAATATATCGGTAAAAGCACACTTAGAGCCCCTTAAAAGAACCTGACCGGTAAAATTCTATATTAACCGTGTTTGGGGTCATGTTTTTTTTATTTAACAGACTGCCATGTGTCAGTTTATCGTAGACGCGAACACGCATTGCTCAACCTTTATTGTAGATTATTGTGTAACAGGGCTCGACACTTCCTCCAAACTACCTCCAGGGACTAACGTCACTGTGTCTCAGCAGATTTCACAAAAAAGTACATACGGTTAACTAGAATTTTCCCCCGGAAATTAGTTGCTCAATGTCCAATTCGGCCTAAATAATTGTGGATGGCCTTTATTGTTAGGCCGACCGATTAACAATAATCAATGTAAACATTGGTCCAGATCAAAATCTGGTAGAATATACGATTTTATCTTTAGATATCCTTTGTTTTGTTTAGAAGATATTTTAGCGAACAAGGCAAGCCACTAAATCGAATAATTCAATCTCCTCTAATTAATACGAAATTTCTGCAAATAGATCTTGTCATCATCAATTGTGAAAAGTGCTTAAAAGAACCCAGATATCTGATGTAATGTTGAAAATAATAACGATCACATTAGATATCCTTAATTAATCATGGAAATATTAGCATTTACAATAAGAATAAATGCATCAGCGATAAGAGTTATTGGTTTTGTACAGTTGGTAAATTATGATGAAAGGAGCAAGGGAATTTTTGTCATAGTCACAGGAGAACTTCATGCTGTTGTTAGAGACTAAGAGACAGGGACGGATTTAGTGCGGGGGGGGGGGTGTTGGGAGTGTGATACCCCCACAATATTACTGTGTCCTTCGGTAAATTTTGCTTCCAATCGGTAAAAATCCTTTTTTGGTAGTCAATTGTAACGACGTAACGCAAAGATTTTACTTCATTCACCTTCTTATCTTCTTTACCTGAAATTTAAAAACCAAATTTGTGTTTCCATCATTTACCAGTGACCTGAAGGGTGTGGCATCAAAATCCAATTAGTGTCTAAAACCCCCCAGCCATTGTTGCTTAAATCCGTCCCTGGTCAGAGAGTATGACCTAGATTGCCAGGTTTTATACGAATTTTTCATGTTCAAATCTAATCATTTCATTAATGAAGGCCAGTCTTAGGAATAAAAAAGGTCAGGAAATCAGTCCATTTAAGCCTTCATATCAAAACATAGGTTTCTTATGCCAGTAAACAGTGGTTCATATAGCTATTAAAATTTTCAACTTTCATTATATTTGATACTAATCATACTTAAGTATTTAATCTTATATTTTAGAAAGTTATAGAAGTATGTTTTGATTTATAAGCCTACTTTCTGGCAGGAACATTTCAAAAACAGTATTTTGGCCGAATATTATCCTTGATGAAGTTTACTATAATGAAAAATAGAAATACTTTACCCTATAATAAGCAAACGCCGAATTTCAATAAAAATTTTCAATTTTGGCAATTTGCTTGCTTTTTCATTTCAAAGGATTCTAATTTTGTATACTTGTCTCCTTTCCTTGGTGCAAGTTTGCAAAAAAGGTAATTAATCTATTAAGATTTATTCTTGGTTTCTAAGCTCTTACGCTTTTAAAAAAGCTTTTTGAATATCGAAATGCCTGCTATACTCCACAAGGATCAGTTCTTTAGCTCATTATCTTTTGCTAGCCAATTACAGTATCATGGTCTGCATTTGACTGTGAATTGCGACGCAGAAACGGGAATAGATGACAAGTCAAAATGATTTATTTCCACTATGCATTCCTCTCTTGCATAATTTTTAAAGTTTTAGAAGACGTCATTGATTGAAAATTGCCAAAATTTAAGTTGTTTTCTGTGCTAGATCTTCATCGTCGTTCTCTTTTTTATAATTGCAGTCTTTTTTTAAAAGAGAAGAAAAGAGCTTTTGACCCTTTTGCAAACAATATAGACTGGGGTAGCAAAAATATGGAAACGATGCTTAAAATGGCTGCTCATGGAAGCCAAGGGCCTAAGCCGCCAAATTTCTAGAATAATATTTCAGGGCTTAGGGGTTTCGATGGAGAGTGTCTTCAGTAGGAAAATATTTGGGCAATTCATTTGGCTTTTAACGAAAAATTAATTTGAAAGATTACTTTATTAATTTGGGAAGAGAATCAAGGAAACGTTTGACCAGTGCTTAAAACACATTATCAACGACATTATCGAGGGATTTACAGAAAATGCCATAAAACACAGACAAAATTCAACAGGAATAAGATTAATCATTTAAATCTGAAAATTATGCTTGTACCGTTGCTCTAACTGTGAATAAATGATAAATCACCAACAAGATCATTTTTGCTGAGATATCAGGTGAACAACTTTTAAAGCTTCCGTTTAGTGATCAAATTTTTGGCTTGCTAAATAGCATAGAGCCACTATCCTTGTGTCAACATTGAATTTTAAATTTAATGCATACTGCTAAAAAAATCTTTTCCGTTATAATTTTATCATCAAAAAATTTTTAAAAGCGATTTGTTTCAAATTTCAACATTTTTGTAATGTTTTTTTAAAAAAATTGATATTTCATGCATTCTTTTTAATGAATACTTAGACATTTTTTTGCAGACTTTTTTTGAACCAGCGATTCAAAGTTTTGCTGAATTCTTTCCTTGGAAACAGCTAACTAATCTCTAAATTTTTCAGCCGAAAGTCGAAGGAATGGAGAAAGCATTTTTTAGCCATAAACTATCGTTTCCAAGCCCATTCACTTTGTAATTTGGTTTTGCAAACTGGTTGGCTAAGGCGACCCCAGTGTACTTCCAAAATAGTCGACAAG